AATATAACTTCTATTTCATATATATATTTTATATCTTGTTATCTTTTTATCGTTAAAATAACGAAAGAAATATGTAATCCCTAAAAAATATGATATATTATCTACAATTTTCTCTCATATTTTTGTATTTATTCGAACTTCCGATTATACAATCTTACCTTGAATAACAAGATTTATCCATTTATCACGAATAAAAAGATACAAGGGTTTTGCGATCATGGAAATATATTTCTTGGAGAGAATAAATAAGTAAGTATATTAGTACTAAGGTCATTAAAGTAGTCGAGAGAAGAGAGGATGGAAAAGTTTGCGAAAAAACTTACGAGAAAAAGAAGTTCTTTACTTGAAGAAACTGTCAGAAAATAAAAAGACAGTGAAAAAAGAGAGAGAGAGAGAGAAGATAAACCGCTAATAGTATTTCTACAAATTGACATCGTTAAATTAAAAAACTTCCTAAAGAAGAAAATAAGAATAAAGAGAGAGAATAAAATACACGAAGAAAGATTACCTATTTTATTAAAACTTAACAACCATTATATAATATTTTTTATTGATATTATTATAATAACTAAAAATCTCGTGTCAATTTATAAATATATATATGAAATAGAAGTTATATTTTTCTCTTTCAAGTCACGTGCGTTTTACAACGTTCGACATACTATTTTTATGATCCTTTACACGAGCTTGTAGTTTTGTAAGATTTCACGCGTAAATTCTCTTGAATTAATTCTCGTTAAAAAGCGTCGTCCACCAACGTGATTTGTGTGAACGATAAGCCAGTGAATAGGATAGTAATTAACTTTTTATCTTACTTTTTTTTAATAAAAAAATCCTGATTTCGAATCAGACATTGGTTGGCATTATATAAATTTAACAGATTGTAAATTTATGCAACGAGAAAAAATTCGAAACAACTTTTCACCGCGTTTCTTTTATATCTCATTATATTTTTTTTTCCATGGATAATATTTGTTATGAAGTATTTCATAAATATTTCGTAAAATATAAAATGAAACGTTTTATAGTGGATAATATTAATTGGAGAATTTTCGGATTGTTCATTAATTATATTATTCGTCTATATATATATATATATATATATATATACTTTAATTGTAAAATTTCGCATGGTTTTAGTTCTCGATCGATTATCGGGTTCAGTTAACTTCGTTTTATTGCATACCGTTCAGGTTTCTTGTTTCCTTCTTTTTCTTTGACGTGCCTATCATATTAATTCTTGAAAAAAATAAAACAAAGAAAGAAGAGAACAGAAATAACAAAATAGAAATTTATATTAAAGTATCGAAGATTTAAATACACGTTTTAAATTGAATTAAATGATAAGTGGAAAAATAATGGTAATACAAGTATTTGGTAATAAGTTGTGGGTGTTCTTTAAACTGAAAAAAAATAAAAGGAATATATTATATTAAATGATTGTTAATTAATCGAAAGAAATGTATATTGTTGTCTAAAAGCATGGATTATAAGTTCGATGTACTTTCCTTTTCGAAATCCATTGTTAGCACGTTGGCACGTGTTTTTTTTATTCAATGTTGTTTATATGACTTTCCGTAAAAAGAAATTCTATTTTATGTATGTTACATATATATGCAACCTTCGGGAAACCATATAAACAACATTCAATAAAATAACTTTCATACAGGACAATGTGTCAGTCTAACGGAAGATTTCGAAGAGTTGAGTGCATAAATCTTGTAGATTACACTTTTAGACAACAATATAAATTACCTTCGATTAATTAACAATTAATCTAATACATTAATACATTCTACTTATATTTCAGATTGTTTAAACATATGTACATTGAATTAAACATTACATACTTATTAATGTATTTTGAATATTAAATAATTTCGATTTTATGTTTCATGAGAAACAAACATTTTATTCTCGAAGTCATAACTGTGCATGAGTTTTAAGAAAATATATACTTTAGTTAAAAAAATTACATAAATATTAAAAGAATGTTAAAATTAAAATGTTATAATCTTAAATTTACTTTATAACGAATATTATTCCCGTTATAGACATGCGCAACTTTCTCGGAAAGTCATATAAACAATATTTAATAAAAGAACTTTCATAGAGGATAATGTCTCAGTTTAATGGGGTATTTCAAGGAAGATGGTGCACCGAACATATATACATACATTTCCTTCGATTGATTAACAATTATTTTAATACTCTAATCCACTTTACTTATATTTAAGATTGTTTATTAAGATTGTTTCATTAAAACATTACATATATCTTATTACCGTATTTTGAGTAGAAAATAATTTTTTCTATGTTTTTTAAAAAAAAATGAATGTTCAATTTTTAACAATGGACCATTTATGTACGTTACTTTCGTATTAGTTTAATTCACTTATTAGAAATAATTCTTTCAAGTGTTAAACTCATATATGTAACGAAGATAGGTATACTAATGTATTTATTTTGAAATTGTTTTTATTCTAAACATATTATATTAATAGTTTTCAAGTAAAAATCTAGTAAGGATAACGGTATACGATTTTAAGTGATACTCATTGTATGTATATGCTAAAATCGAAAAGGGAAGGTATACATATAGATAATCGTGAATGGATACTGTATGTTATATATAATACATGAACATAGAGACCATGTTAGGTAAATGTAATAGAGAGTATAAGCAGCAAAGGACAATTGTTTGTTTCCCCTTTCTCAAAGTTTCTTCTTAGTTAGATTTCTATTATAATATCGAAGAAGTTCTTCGTAAACTAGGACAATTTTTTCAATTATAGTTATAGAGAATCCGGAAAATCGCGTGAGAGTTGATTCTTGCCAATGTTACTTTTACATGAAAAGAAATGTGTTCTCTTTCTCTCTCTTTTTCTCGTTAAATTTTTATATAAAAAAACAAAAAACAAAATTTTTTCCTCTTTTTCCTTTCTATTTCTTTCTTTTTATTCATTACCAACAACCCGCCAAAGAAAGTTAATTACAAGTTCTGTAAAAGATCGGTTCGTTTTTTTAAAACGATTGAAGACTTTCACGCCAATCGGATTGGTAAAGGAACGAACATTCGAGGTATAAAGTCCGACGTTTAAACGAGATCTTAGCCGAAGCGAAAGGTAAAAGGGGAGGATAACGAATCTTCTAAGAAGATCCTGTTTCGCTTTTCAAGTAAGGAATTAGGTTGGTTGGTTCGTTGGTTGGTACGTTTAATTGAACGGGAATATTATATTGTGGGTAGGAAAATAACATAATTCATTCCATAATTTATCAATACGGAATAATTAATAAAAATAATTGATCATTTATTTTATAACTATGAGATATATAGAATTTTAATCGGCGAACTAATTTTCATATTATGTAGATTGCTTTGATTAATAACTAATTTCAATATTTGTGGTATTTAGTATCTCGATAATTAATAATAGTAAAACATTTCGTATACGAATAAAATACGAATAATATTTTTATATTTGTACTCTTTTGATAATATATTTTATTAATATTATTATTTGTATATATATAATTAACGTATTTATTAATATTTTTCTTAGATTAGATTTTTCAATAAAAATAATTTATTTATTAAAATGTAAAAAACAATATTAGAGACAATAAAATGTTATTTCTTGATGAATTTCATAAGTTTTATTTTCTTTATCTTTTAAGATATATAAATGAAAAAGATAATTAACGTTAAAAATGAACTTTGCAACAATAGACGTTTCTTTAATCGAGAATGTTTACGATACGCGATGTAATATAATTTGAATACTTCGAATCAATTATTCATAAAACCTTTTAGGTGGGAACAAAACGCATTAATCATATCCACGCGAACGAAGCACGATGTCATCTGATATGTTCCTGTCTATAGAATGGTTTCGTACGCTTGCTGTGATTTATTGTTGTCATTCACAGCGGCGACGAGTATGATAAGTGGTGTTTCCATTGATGAAACTTTGACGTGCCTCTTCTTTTTTCTTCTTGTTTTATTTTTTTTTATTTTTTACCCCCCACCCCCGCCCTGCCCCCCTCCCACCTCCTTTTTTATTTCTTTTTACAACTCTTTATAAAAATAATAATGTTCGCTTATTATAAATTTGTATAATAAATTTTGACAAAATTACCATATTTTTTTATTTTTATTTTAATTTCATTATATCGTACACATGCATATTTTACACATTATCGATTGAAATGAATTATTAGAGAAAATCAAAGATAATTTTGTGATTCAATTAACAAAGATAAGAAAAGGATAAGCATGAAAATGATACTTGAAGTTGAATACATCTTGTTAATTCTATAGATCTTTATGCAACAGATACACCACAGATATAGCTGTTTCTAATTAGTCGAAAGTTATTTAGGAGTATTCACAGCAAAGATCCTCTTTCTCTCTCTCTCTCTTTCTCATTCTCTCTTTCTCTGTTTCCTTGTATCATCATTTTGCAAAGAGTTAAGCTCGAACTAATGACGCAGAGATCTAATAAACTTGACTTACTATTAATTCGTGGATTCTGTTCAACGTTAAGAGGATCTCTCTTTCTCTCAGTGTCTTCATTTTCTAATTATCCGAGAAGGATATAGTTCCATCGTCCTTCCCAATTTATTTATCAAACTCTGTGTGTGTGTGTGTGTGTGTGTGTATGCTTATATTTTTTTATATCTCAGATAAGGACATTTTCGTGGGCGGTTTACATTGGTATTGGTGTTGGTTGATTCAACGAAGAGTAAACGATGTCAATGGTACAGGGTCGTCCTTTTCAGGACATTCAAACGTCGTTCGAGGGATCGACTTGAAGGTCTGATATCGATGTATCAACGATATGCCATTAAAAACTGACTTTAGCCCTATGTATATATATATATATATATATATATATATATATATATATATATATATANTTTATTGTCGCGAAGAAAGCTTTTCCGAACGATCCTTCCTCTCTTACACCAGACACATACATACATATATATATATATATATACATATATATATAGGTATATAGGTATATATATACCTTTTTCTTTTTCTTCCCCTAACGAAATTTCTTTCTTTTTCTTTTTTTTCTTTTTCTCATCGGATTATCGATGGTCGCTCGTGCGAAAAGCTTGTCATTCAGTGGGCGTTTCGATTTTGTTCAATAAACGTGATTAAAAGATATAATAATAATAATAATTTATATGTATCTATATATATATATATATATTATATATCGTTAATGCTTTCTTTTCTTTTTTTATTTTTTCCGTAAGAATGATAACTTCTTTTATTCGTGAAATTTATCTTTCGAATGATTCGAACAAATCGTCCGGACAAAAAGATAACGATTAGAAATATTCAATGTGCCAAGTTACACGTCAAAGACATCTATTTCTTTTTTTTTTTTTTTATAGAAAATATATACTTACCTTACTTATATATTATATATATGTATGTATATATAATACCCTTTAGTCGCGTATTAAAGAATATGACGAAACAATATCGTACTTTTCTCTTTGAATGATTTCTCTTCGAGGAAGAATTTAGTACTCTTTGATATATCCCGATATAGATATTTACTTTTTATCTTTTTCTTTTTATTTTACTTTTCTTTTATTTTATTTTCATTCCTTTATCTTTTACTCTTACTATATTTTTGACAAAATTTCAAGCTTTACGTTTAGGAACGAGGTCGAGGTATTATCACCGATACCAGATGATATCCGACTTTTTTTTTAAGCCAATTCGCGTAGACGTATATGTATATATATATATTGTATATATATATTCGGTTCGATATTCGGGACCATCCCTTATTTTCTACGAAAACGTTCTAGGTCCGTTTATTTTGTTGTCGTCATTTATTTTTCCCTGAACTGCAAATGATTTATGAAAACCGTAGACGATTGTAGTACGTACACGCAGCAGAACAAATTACTGCGAATAACTGTGTTATTTCGAACTCGGTTAGTTAGAAATTTACGATGGAAAGTTATGTCTTTAACGTTTCTTAATCGAATTCGAAGCGGAAAATTGATTTACGAACGATGAATGATAGATGGAACATACCGCTTCACGTAAGATTCGTAAAATTAAAAAAAAAATATCAGTTTATCGTGAAAATAATTGTAATTGTTCGATAATCGTTACGATCGTCGAATCGTATGAGATCGAACATTAGAAGTTCATAAGTTTATCGAGGGGATGCTTTAAAAAACTTTATCATTTTCTTTTACGAACAAATCGTAAAGTTCTTCTTTTTATCGTATTGGTAAATCCGATAAAATTCTGTCATTGACCCTTTCGAAGAATGTTCTTCACTCGGAAGAAAATAACTTCGAAGAGTATTCGACTATTGGTTACATTTATTGCGATTTCTATGCCACCCTTCCTTCCTTCCTTCCTTCCCTTCTTTTTTCCTTCTTTCCATTTAGTCGAATATTTCACAACTCGAAAGTCCGTTTTTTATTTGTGATTATTTTTTCTCCTTTTACTTTTGTTGATTTTACTGTTAAGATACTTGTGACGAAGAATAATTTAAATATTTAACTAGCACTATTTATACCAGTTAATTACTCTCCAAGCTCAAAAGAATCCACCCACATGAGAACTAGTAAAAAATTAAACTTAACTGAAATAAAGGACGTGCTATCTTTTTTCATTTATATAATAATTTACCAAATGTCTACGGACAAATTGTAAAGATGTATGAAGTTAATACAAAAAAAAAAAATAAAATTACTTTCCATATTTTCGAGTATTCTTAGGGTTGCAACATATAAACAGAATTCTAGAGTTAGTCGAAAGTACAACTTGAGGAATTTCATTTAATCTTAGTGCGGTAGGAATAATTAACAGTTAGTTTTAATGAAACGAAATAGTAATCAAAACGCTTTCTTACACACGTGATATAAAATATATTTATTTTGAAAATTAATAACTTGGGATTATTTCTAAAATTATTATCATAATTTCATCATGTTGATTTAATTAAAAATTTATTATTTATTTATTTATTTATTTACAATTGAATCGAAAAGATTGTATGAAATATTTCATGAAGATATAATTTGAATGGAAGGAAAATGAATTATATTAACTCTCTAACCCGATTGATTTTCGTTAATGAAAGAAAAGTGATATGGAAATTGAACGTCTTTGGAAAGAGACACTTTAAATGATAGAAACGTATACTCGATTTCGAAATAACCTTTACGATTTAGACATTGCATTAATATGTATGACGAATGCGAAACGGTGAAGCGATGAAATTTATGTCTGACATTATGACGATCATTTAATAACGTTGCAGCTGTCCGCCGACCATTTTGTTCAATGGAAATACATATGAATTAATTATACTGTATCATGTTTCGAGGAACTTTGTAATACTATTATTATTCCGATTCCTATATTTCATTTTTTTCGCCTTCTTTCTTTTTTTTTTTTAATATCATCAGAACGAAATTCCATAGAAATTTTCTAGAAATACATTTTTGTCACGTTTTTATTGGAAATTCACAGGTGATACAGCAAAGCGTTCACGCGTGAAATTGGGAATGTATTTTACACTTTTTGTTTACATTTTACGATAGATGTGTGTATATATATATATCATACTAGGAAACCAGTGTAATATGAAGTTTGACAGGATCGATATCTTGTATTGTGCGATCGGTATGAAAGGAGTACTATAATGTCTCCGCTCTTCCAGTACGCGTGATTCCTGTTATATGAAAGGGCTTTGTATGATAGAGGAATATATTATGTGTATATTATATTATATATTCCATGTGAAAAAAAATCTTTAGTTAACCAACGAGATGTTATAAGATCGATTTTATCTGTTAATATCTCGAAGATAATTTATCCCATTAGTAATCCTATATCGTAAATCTAATAATGATTATACATTTTTCTTTTTTTATTTTTTTTTGGCTTTATTACTGTTAAAATATGCGTACGTGTACGTTTTTATCGAACGTATCACTGTAACATATATAAATAAATTTGAATTATGTTATAGGTTTTATGTCAGGAGGAAGAAGACAACAATCAATGCATACCGAAAAAAGTTTTCATCGCATTATTGCGTCTCCCAGAAGCAAGCTCGAATTTAGCGGCTTATTCGCGTACTGCTCGAATTATTCAGGATGCAAAGAATCGTAACGAGATGGCTCATTTAAAGGCACTCAGTACCGAGGAAAACGATGATTCAGAAATTTGTATACCGGGTAGTCTTTATTTGGAACTCTTTAGAGATCCAGCGATGCGAGCTCATTTGATGTCGATTGGTAAATCATCCAAATTACCGGAATATCCGTTCGGACGTTCGTTCGAGGAGAACATCGAAGAAGTTGAACCATTAGCCGAAACGGAAAAACGAAGTCTCGCGACCTTGGCAAAGAACGGTGATCTTCCGGTTTCTATTCAGGAACGTAAAGAAGAGACCAACAATAATGACGACGAGGAAAAAAGAAGTTACGCTTCGAAGTGAGAAAGATATACGCCTATTTTTTATTATTTTTTTGTTTTGTTTTGTTTTCATTGATTAAATATATAATTGAGATTGGTAGGTTAAATGAAATGAAATTAAAACGAATTTATTTGGAATAAAATAGGTTTGGTACTTGGACCGATGAAAGATTGGCAACATTATTGCAACATATGACAGAAGATTTCGGTAAAAATATACCTGATATTATTCGTCAGTATACACTTCCCAATGGTGAATTGGATATCGAAGCTTTGATACGTAATTATCCTTCTGAGAAGAGAAACGTGGGTTCGTTGGCACGAGACTTTGCTTTACCACCGACAGCTGGTAGAAGAAACATTGCTTCATTGGCACGTGATCGTTCGTTATTAGCTTCAAATGGCAAGAGAAATATCGGTGCCCTTGCAAGGGATCGAGCATTACCACAAATGGCAGGAAAAAGGAATGTTGCTGCGTTAGCTAGGACCTATATGTTACCAAAATCAGGTAAAATGGATTATTTATCCGAAGATATGTCACCGATTGAGAGAAGGTATTTGGGTTCTTTGGCTCGGTCAGATGGATTACCAGCTTTTCATGCTTCTTACGATGAAGATAAAAGAAATGTTGCATCATTGGCCAAAAATGGAGACTGGCCTGAATACGTTAAACGTGCTTATGCCATTCCCCCATACGGTATGATCGTTCGTACTATGAGCCGTCATGGACGATCATTGAAAGAAAAACCTCTCGATCTTTATCATCAATTAACTCGCGAAAAACACGACGATGAAAATTCTGGATCATTCCTTGACGATAAATTGGATTTTTTGATGCGAGATTCGGACGATAGGAGAACGAAAAGGCAAATTGATTTTTCCGACGAGTATCCATTACCCGTCATGCAGAATTCTAATGTTCTTGATTACGAGGAAATGATCGAGGCCCTGACCGGACAATATCCAAACACGGAAAAAAGATTCATGGGTGAGAATATATTAGAATGATTTTTAACACAATATCTTAATATCGTAATTATCAATGATTATTATAGGTACCATTCTATATAGATTAATCTAATGCATAAATTGTTAGATTAGTGGGTTAAATTTTTGAGAGATCCAACGTATCCTATAATCGATATATTTATCAATTGAAAAATATTTAAATTATAAATTTAATTAATTCTAAAAAAAGAGAGAAAAAGAAAAGAAATACAAATAATTCTCGACTAATCCGAAATGTTGGATCTTAAAACGAAATATCGTTTACCCTTTGTAGTTCATTTAATTAAATTTTTGGAAAGGGTAAAATTATAAGAAAAAAAAGAAACAAGATTCTGACTCTCAGGAACGGAATCGGCTGGGTTGGAGTTGCCGACGGACACCTCGATTCCCGTTGGATATCTCGAGACATTTCAACGAAGTAAAAGACATATCGGGTCTCTGGCGCGGCAAGGTTTGCTACCATCGATAAGGGCGGCACGAATCTCGCGATCACCCAGATATCTGGTCGACAGGTCAGACCATTAGGCTCTCGTCCGTCCGCCATATTTTCTCACACGTGTTATCCGCACAAAATTTGTTCTCCTATTTTATTCGATGTAATGTCGCCAAATTTGTCCGTATCTGTAATCAGTAGATCATATTTTGTGTCACTAATCTAATAATTGTTCAAACGATATATTAATCTCTTCCTCGTTAGTTACTGAATTTTTTTCACGACAAGAACAACAGTAAAAACAAAAACTGCAGTATTTGGACGTTTAATCTCATGTGCATCGTTTTCAACCAAAAAAACATTCATTTACGAATCGTCCCGTACCCTTTCTTTTTTTTTTTTCTTGGTTCTTTCTTCTGCTCATATGTTTCTCTCTCTCTCTCTCTCTTTCTCTCTTTTTAAATATTTTGTCATAAAACATACTTCACTCGTTTCACGATCTCCAATTGTGTCGTCTTCGTTGGATTCGTCACGGTAGATAGGTGTTGTTAACATTTTATTTAAATGTATAGTTTTCGGTGTCGTTTATTGATGTTAGACAGATTAGATTCTAGAGAGTCAATTAGAATCGTATAAATCGATGTTAGAAGGCTAATTATTTCATAGAGGGTCAATGTCTGCTGCATTTATTTCATTTGTTCGTACATTTTTTCTGTTTGTATCTCTTTCCTTTTTGTTTTTTTTTTTTTATACGTAGACCCTTCTCTCCGTGTTTTTTATTTTTTTAAATAATTACTTGACGCGTTGTGGATATTTTTAAAAACGAATTATTCATTCCTTTTTTTCTTTTTCATGCGTAGAATTTTATAACGTTTTATAAACAATTTAATATACGAGTATTTAGGATTATGTTAGATGTGAACGCGCGTTGCGCGTTCCTTTCTAATGGTTATCCAGTGGAAACAATGTCATTTTCATAGATTATCGAATGGAAATTAATTGAAAGATACGAATGCATTATTCTGTATTTTTTTCTTTTTTTTTTTCATAAAATAGTTTTCCTTGGATACCATTGATGCAATTGATGTTGAATGTTGAAGGTAGATCGAAGATCAAGTGCTCGCGGAGTCTAAATGTCATATAATAGTGAAGATAATTAATTAATGCATTTTAATATCTCGAGAATAGTTTTCTATTCGGTCTGATGTCTCTTGCAGAATTAAACAAGAATATGCTTTGATCTTTTGTTCCATTATCGTTAATAGCACTTCACAAGTGTGCTTAAGTATTCTTTTTGTTTTAGGAAGCATTGTTTTTTCCTTTGTTCGAAGAAAAAACCCATTATGATCGAGTCATCAACGTTCCTTGTTCAAAATCTATTTATATATTATACATATACTTACGTGTGTGTGTATATATATGTATATTTTAGACTCTGATTACACGAACATTAATTTGATCAGTAATGCGATATAGTATAGATTTATTAATATAGTTTTATTTGTCGCTATAAATGAAAACTATGATCGATAACAATTCATTGATTATCTATTTTTTAAAAATATATCATTTTTTAGATATTTTAATTTTGTTTTATTAAAAAAAAATAGACGAAATTGTTATCCATCATCGTTGCGTTTCATATCAACTGATAATTGTTTAGTGTTAATTAGTTATAAAAAAAAAAAAAAAAAGCATAGCAGCTGTGTTAGTTTATAAAAACTGTGACTGATTAGACATAAAAATATGTGTGAGTGTGTGTGTGTGTGTGTGAGCAGCGTGCGTGTCGATAAAGTAGAAATACTTAATGTTGTAACAACACACGTCCGATCAATTTCAGGGAGAATTCCGCAGATGGGCCCACGTCAAACTACTCCTTCAACCCGACGACTTGGTCGTTAAGGCCCATTTATGGTTCTGGCCCTCCCAGAATACGCTATCTTCAGTCATTGTGCAGGTATTGTCACCATGGCTTCCGAAGATCCCGTTCTATTACCGACGGACGATAATTTTCTTCATAACCGACTGTGTAAATTGTTTAAATCGTGCAAGTAGCGATGGGTATAAACATATTCCTTAAGTTTTCAATATTTTTAATCATTTGAAGAATTATAACTTTCTGCATCGCGTTTTTTATATTGATTTGTAAATTATTCTAGAACAAGATAATGAAAGAGAAGGGTAATTATAATTTATTAAACAATAGATATAATATAAATTGAGAAAGCATGTAAAAGACTGAATTGATAGACCCATCGCTAAATGCAAAATCCGTAATTACTGGCTCCATCATCATCGTTGATTAAATTATCGTCGTGTAATCATAACGACGGAATTATACGCAAATTTACGAAATATCGAAAATAACGACGAGAAAGAAAGAAAGAAAAAAAGATTACACCTACTTACACCGATGTAAATATTTTGTAAACCTACAATTTCGTGCTTGTTCTCTCTCTTTTTAATTCATATACGATATTCCTTAAAGTTCCATAGAAATTCTGAAAGTTTTATAATTCTATTATTAATACGTAATATTACTTGCAATAGATGATTTATTTTTTGAAGAATCGAATTTTTTTTCAATCGAAGAGAAACAAATTTCTCGTCGTCATCGTCATTGTCGTTGTCGTTGTCGTTGTCGTTGTAATTTTCTTTGTCGTTGTTTAATCATCTAATAAATGAAATGAAACTAATGTAACTTTCGTCGTGAGAGATACCTACGCGTTCATTGACAATAATAACATTGATAATAATTTTCTCCTGGATAATTATATACTACTACATACGATTAAGATTAAATTATTCAAACACGATAAGAGTATTTAAAAAAAAAAAAACAAAAAAAAATTGATTAGAATCGTTCGTCGTTCATAAGACAATAATTATATCGTTAGATAATTATTATTATTATTATTATTATTACCTGTGCTTGTATTTTCCTTCTATCTTCAAATTAATTAGGATTATGTTGCGTTTAATAGATTAAAAAAAAAAAAAAAAAAGAAGAAAGACCTAGCTTGAATCGTTTTCGTTAATATAAGGTAAAATAATCTATTAAATATTCTTACCTGTATACTTTTTTAAAAAACCAATCATCGTCCTGTTACGATAGAACGGCTTACGAAGTCTAAACGCAATTTCCTTGCACGTAGTAATCTTTCACAGTATTATACAAATAAACAAAAAAAAAAAATAACCCGAATTAGTGATTACGATATGCACTGATAACGAGAATGAATTTCTTTCTTCGTATAACGTATTACACATTATTCGATTATTATTAGTGACTATCGTTGTGTATAAATGTATGTGATGTTATATGTAATAATTCAATAAATATCAAGAGAGAATATTGGATTTTTCGAATATTAATAATAATTATGGAACGTTGATAAAATGAGAATCTTTGAAAGAAATTTTCAGCGAGACTTTCCATTCGAGAACGTCTTCGTATAATTGCTGTGGATGACATATAAACACCTTTACCATTCTTTATTATTACAATAATATATTATGTATTTAATTATATACTGTAATTGATAAACAATGTGACAATAAAGCGGTAATAGTATATTAAAATAAATATCTAATTATTGTATAGATCGATAAAAGAATCATTTTATTTTCATTTACAGAGTGCTACCTGTGTGTGTGTGTCATAAAGATTTAAAACAATTATTTTAAATATTTACTAATTATTTACATTTTTAAGAATACAATACGGATAAATGTATATTACTACGGAAATCTTACTAAATAGATAATATAGAAAAGATCTAATTGTAAGTAGATCTTTAGAGGCTATAATTTTTCTGAATTAACAAAACTTCAGTTTACATTATCCTTATTTTCTTACACTACCAGAATTAGCATTATTACCATTACCATTTATATTTATTAAATTACCATTTTCAGTATTATTGCTGTTAGAAGAAATATTAACACTGCCAATATTTCCAGAATTATTAATACAAACAAATGATTCCAGATTTTTGTACTTTAATATTTTCTACGTTAACTTAATTTGAATTATTGCCGTTATCGTTTCCGTTAGAAATGTTACTGCCATTTTTATTAATTTTTATATTATTGATAATCAAATGACAATCGAGGAACTCTCGCTAGTACTTGAACCTTTCTGAATTTCTACATCATCTTCATTTGAATTATTATTATTGATGTTTTTAGTAACTGCGTTATCGTTTTCAGTACTATTTTCATTCGAGACATTACTATCGCTTTCATTGCTTTCTGAACTGTCAATTATTGAAGGTTTATCTGGTTTAGATACTTCCACATTCCCTACATTACCTTCATTCGAATTATCACCATTGCTATTTCCATTAACTATATTACCGTTTTCACTATCGTTTCCGTTAGAAACGTTAGCATCACTATTATTATTTTCTGAATTATTGATAATTCGTGGATTTACGCTGGACCTAGCAGCTTTCTGATTTCCTACGTTACCTTGATTAGAATTATTTCCGTTATCGTTTCCGTTAGAAATGTTACTGCCATTTTTATTAATTTTTATATTATTGATAATCAAATGACAATCGAGGAACTCTCGCTAGTACTTGAACTTAACTGAATTTCTACGTCATCTTCATTTGAATTATTATTATTATTACTGCTATTTTCAGTAACTGTGTTATCGTTTTCAGTACTATTTTCATTCGAGACATTACTATCGCTTTCATTGCTTTCTGAACTGTCAATTATTGGAGGTTTATCTGGTTTCGATGCTTCAACATTCCCTACATTACCATGATTCGAATTATTGCCGTTGCCATTTCCGTTAACTATGTTACCATTGTCATTATCGTTTCCATTAGAGACATTACTTTCACTATGACTATTTCCCGAATTATTAATAATGAATAAACGCAATACAGGATCCTTTCTGTTTCCTTGACTTGCATGATTATCATTGTTACTTCCATCAATTATATTTCCATTTTCACTATTGTCTCCGTTAGAAACATTATTCGAATTTTGACTATGTCCTGAATTTATGATAATTAATTGTTTTATGCTAGGTTTAGGTCTTTTTACATTTCCTACGTTACCTTGATTCGAATTATTACCATTGCTATTTCCGTTAATTATATTGCCGTTTCCATTATCGTTACCATTGGATATATCATTATTACTACCACTATTTTCTGCATTATTAATAATTAATAAATCTACAATAGGTCCATCGTTTCCTTGATGAGCAGTATTACTATTCTCCGTTCCATTAATAATATTTCCATTTTCACTATTATTTCCGTTAGATACATTATTAGAATTTTGAGAATCTCCTGAATTTATGATTATAAATGGCTGTGCACTAGGTTTCGACGATTTTGCATTCCCTACGTTACCTTGATTTGAATTATGACCATTGCCGTTTCCATTAACTATATTACCATTTCCATTATCGTTTCCATTTGAAACATCATTGTCACTGTCACTATTGTCCGAATTATTGATAATATGTGGACTTATAACTGATCTTTTTGCTCTTCCGTTTCCAACGTTACCATGATTGTCATTATTATCATTGCTATTTCCGTTAACTATGTTACCGTTTCCATTATCATTTCCATTTGAGATATTATTATCGCTGTCATTGTTTTCGGAATTGTTAATTATGTATGGAAGAATTACAACAGGCCTCCCTCCGTTTCCTTGACTTGCATGATTATCATTGTTACTTCCATCAATTATATTTCCATTTTCACTGTTGTCTCCGTTAGAAACAGAATTCGAATTTTGAGAATCTCCTGAATTTATAATAATAAATGGCTGTGCACTAGGTTTCGAAGCTTTGGCATTCCCTACATTACCTTGATTAGAATTATTTCCGTTATCGTTTCCATTAACTATATTACCATTTCCACTATCGTTTCCGTTTGAAACATTACTATCACTGTTATTATTTTCTGAATTATTGATAATACGTGGACTTATGTCAGACCTAGCAGCTTTCTGATTTGCCACGTTACCTTGATTTGAATTATTGTCGTTATCGTTTCCATTAACTATATTACCGTTTCCACTATCGTTTCCATTGGCAACATTATTGTCACTGTTATTATTTTCTGAATTATT